TTAGCTTGTATAAAAAGTAGTGCTTCGCGAAGCGTCAATAGCAACAAAACGTTACACTTATAATCTATCAATAAATATTGGGTTGATTTAAGTCGACAAGATGTGTAAGATGCGTTGAGGTGTATCGAAAAGAAAAGGCTGCCTTCAATAGTCGGACAACCCAGATGTAAAAAATGTACTTGCTTTATGCGTTCCGACAACCGATAATATGCAATGACAGAATAATTCTATCGTCTCGGCGTCACAAGGGTTCTTAGCTCAGTGGTAGAGCAATTGACTGCAGATCAATAGGTCCCCGGTTCGATCCCGGAAGGGCCCTTTTTGCTTTTATTGCGTTTGCAAATACAGTTATCTCACTTCCAAACTTGAATATGTGACCACATGCTCTGTGCAACAAATAGGACTGTAATTTCGATATTGAATAAGTGTAACAACCCGCAATCAAGTCTTTTCTGCTTGACGCGTTTTCAATTCCGATGTGGACAACGGGGCCAAGGAGGGCCAATATCTCATTCAGTAGTCATGAGCGGAAGAATTTTGTGTTGGACTACGCATGGTGAATACAATATTTGACGGATATTACACACTATCCACCTTAACAACGAAACGTTTCCGTTATCGTCGTGAGTACAAGAATATTGTAACGTAGCAAACATGGCTTCTGATACAACGGCGTACATTATTACGGCTGCCGTGTGGAACGTTTATATATTGAGTACGGCACTTCTGTTCTATCTTCTCCGAAAAAAAGACATCATACGAAAACGAAATATACATGCCTGCCTTTTCCAAGTGTTTTTCTCTGTCTGGACAGGTAATATTTGGTTAACCAGAGTTAACGTGTATGTATTATCTATTTCTCCCATACTGAGCCACTTTAGCTTATGAAATTCGAGGGGCGTGAACTCTGACAAACCATTTAAAATTTCGTTAGATGGCCAACGGTTTATGCATCCATTCCATGGATATTATCTGCTATCTCAAATTACTTTGTAAGAATATTTCTTATGTTTTCTCGAAAATACTTGGAAGCTAACGTACACGGGAAATAGTGTGTCATAAATTGGTTATTCTCATATTTCATACGGACAATTATCCTATTGAATGATTATTACAGTGCAAAAATTGCAAGTATGGTGAACAAAAAGTCAGCCATCAAAAATGAGGAAGAATTGGTACAGTTGTTACACTTGGTAAATTGGCCTCAACTTAACTCTCAACGCGTCGATGATGAGAACTAAAAATTAACAATCGCTACAGAGTCCAGCGGAGAAATTTGCCTTCAATCTCCAGAAAAGAATCATTAATCTCGGAAAATCTTCTTCTACGCCTGATAACAGACAAGAGACTATCGCGCTGTTAACAAACAAAGCCGGTGTCATCAAAGGAATCGGATTCCAAGAGCTGTTAAAATGTTTGATGTATTCAACCATGATTGAATTAGTCATACTTTTAATAGTACTAGGGTACAGTGAAGGATTCACCAGCAAAGCTTTGAGTTCAAGTCACCAGTTCAGGGGTTTAGAGTGGATTGTAAGTCATTGGAAGGTATTATAACATTAAGGAAGAAGTTAATTAACATGAGTCACTTGTTTAAATAGCCGCTATACTTCGCAACCGTCGTGTTCTTGTTATTGGTACCGGCATTCGTTTACCTTCTTAGAAATGTATTTTTAATTGTACTTCTTTCTTTTCCGATGAATCGATGGCTAATTATACTTAACAGATCAAAGATTCCCTGTTTTTGCGGCTGGAGCAAACAGCTACATTCGTTGTCTTCTATCCGTTTTTCATACTATACGTTCTGACATACTTTGTCCGACCTATAAGCAATGCCTTTTCATTCGGTTATAATTTATGGTTATTCATGCTTCTCACAATCGTTCACACAATCACTGTTACAGCACCTGCATTATATGCGTTATTAAAGAAAGATTCCGGAAACCAAAAAGTGTTATTGAATAATTCCATTGAATCTTTTACTCGTGTTCTGAACGATGCAACTCTCTTTGCAGAATTGAAACAAATATTGGTTGAAAATTTTTCTATCGGTAGGTCAACTCGGTGTACTTCTCTGCATCAACCAGTTCGACTACTAATATATTCATCCATTTGCTTTAAAAAATCAACCAGAAAACGCACTATTTTTGGAGGAATATGGTGTTCTTGTACCGAGTGGAGCGAGTAAACAAACTCATACTATTCTCGACGCCGAAGGAACCCAGGTTCAGATTCAAAATATCGTCAAAATGTTTATAGTCAGTGGCGCCCCGAACGAACTGAATATCACCTCCAAAACTCGAAAAGCGATTGTCGCAGCATGGCAAAAGGGTGGCCACCTTTCGGCTGAAATTTTAGAGCCTGCCAAATTGGAAGTCATTCAGATGATGGTATGTTTATAGTGTTCATTTCCTTGAAAGTCGTCGCATTATTCACCGAGAAATAACATTTCTATTATTAGTATCAAAATTCTTATCCAAGATTATTGCGAAAGATTTCAGAAAGAAAGATGAAAGAAATGGTTTAAGTTTTGATTAGAGAAAAGAGATACAAATATGTGAAAGGAAATAACCTTTGTAAACTTCTGTAATTAGCTCATACCTGCTGGTTCGAAATGTGAACCGATGTACAACTCCGTTTTTCTACAAGTTATATAAAGCTTAATTATTTGACATACCCTTGAGTTTCATATGTACCTGAATTGTCTTACCTTACTGCAGTGTCAAATCAATTTCCAACAATCTCGCGTGTTGCGTTCTAGCACGAATGCTCAAGTCTGAAGAAATTTTTCGCAATAAAATGCCCCCTCGCCTTTTGATTATCTATATTCCATAAGTAATAAGGCAAGATGAGCGTTGAAAATGACCAGTTTAGGAATTATTTGGGCACTGTCATTACCTGGAATCTTTATCTAATATCCACTACTGCTTTATTTTTAGCTCAGCAGAAGAAAGAAATGATACGAAAACGCAATGTCGCAATCTGTATGGTTCAGGTAGTTTCAGTTTTCGGAGCCTCAAATGTTTGGTTGGCAAAGCTACTATTGTAAGTTCTTTACTACAGCATGACTGTGTCATCTTGTTACAGCTAGTTTTGTCAGCTGTTCAACAAAAGACGCCATCGTGTAAGTGTATTATACAGAAATTCATTACACCTTCTTTATTTACAGCTGGCCGCAAGTGTCCGTCTCAGTGCCTTGGTTGCTCCTGTTGGCAGCTAATTATTTTGTATGTATTCAACTACAAAAATTTTCGAATTTGTGAATTACTAACCTAATTGGACCTAACAGTTCGCAATATCCTGGCAACTGTCATATTATTTGAGAGCCATAATTCTATTGAACGAATACTACACAAACCGTCTGGGAGCAATTATAAACAACAGACTAATTAACATGGAGATTATCTTAAGAGAGTTGGGGCTGGTACATCAAAATTTTACCGTTCCTTGATATTCAAGTTCGCGAAACTAACGCGTAAAAACTTTCACTGCTATCTGCTTTTAACATATTTTTTGCAGAATCGCGCAGAAAGATTGATTTTTGCTCTACAGCGAAAGATAGTCGATACAGGGTTCTATCGCTCTGACTCAAAGCGGCAAGATAGATATCAATTGATACAAGAAACTGGGATTCAGACTACTTTTGGGTTAAGAACAGTCATGAAATGTGTCTGCTGGACGCTACTATTCGAATGCTTACTGTATTTAATGGTCATTGGATATACCAGTGGATTTACTGCTGCGGCATTGAATCCGCGATTTTCAGCATACGGGAGAGATTGGATTGTAAGTTGCTTAAACATCAACCGCGGAATGGGCAAATGATTGTGACTTTTCTAACGATGGTTACGTTCTTCGATTGAACAGCCCATGTACATATTTTCGGGAATCTATTTTCTTCTTTTACCATACTTTCTATACGTACTTCGCAATGTCTGTATTGAATATTAGTGTGCATTCACCGTCCCTTATTTTTTCAAGTATACTGATCTATATACTTTTATGTAGGTTCAAGATAGCTTCTACATGAGATTAGAGCAAACAATTGTCCTTGCAACTTACGCTCCTTGTTATGCTCTTTGGATGCTTACATTCTTAGTACCCGCTTGGACTAAGGCGATTTGGCCTGGACCTAACATTTGGCTTGTGTTCTTGGGCGTTGTGTGCCATACAATATCTATTGCATTTCCTGCGATGTATGAATTTTTAAGAGGCAGAAAGGACCAAAAAATTCTTCTCTCTTACACTTTAGAAGCTTTTCAGAAGGTGTTGAATGATCGTTCCTTATTCAGCCAACTCAAAGACATTCTGGCAGAGGATTTTTGCATTGGTCAGTATAGCCTTAAAATTTATCCAATTCACTTTTCCTCAAGTAGCTAGCAAAAACATACAAATAACATTAATTTATTAGAAAACGCATTATTTTACGAAGAATACATTTGTCTCTTTCCCACCGACTCCCAGAATTCATCATACATAACGGAGAATCCAGAGTCAGTTCACCGCCACGTTTTCCATATCGTACAAACATTCATCGCCCCTGGATCACCTCACGAGTTAAATCTAACGTCACACGCACGAAAAGAAATTATGAATGCTATCCACGATCAAAATTTTTCGATCGAAATATTGGAACCGGCACGAAAAGAAATTGTGCAATTAATGGTGCGTATTGAGTTACATGAATTGAAATTTGCTCAGTTAAGCCTTACCTCTCTGCTTATTTCTATGATGCGATTTGGTTTAATAGTACACGAATACTTACCCCAGACTGTTAAAACGAATTAGTGCACAGACAGGAAAGAGTATGACTAAACTTGCTTTTGTCTAACGCTAGAAAGTAGATTCAAGCTTGTAATAATGATACCGTGTACCATAAAATAAAGAAGGTTCTCCTATTTTAAAAAGATTGATTTGATCATACGTGCAGACACACATTTCATGAGAACGAAACATAATTAAAATGATTATAATAACTATTATAAGACCTTTGAAACAAAGGGGGTTTAGCTCAAATGGTAGAGCGCTCGCTTCGCATCGCGTGATTGCGAGAGGCAGGGGGATCGATACCCCCAACCTCCATTTTGCATTTTTGTTCTCATTAAAATTTTTTGAGACTCACAATACTAAGTTTAATAACACTATTCTTAAGCGAATGCATTTTACTGTTTTAACAGCTTAAAATTTTTATTGGGAAGAGAGATTTCTTAAGTTATTGCTGCTATAAGGAATAATCGAGAGATTTAAATTATATTACAAGATATAATACCAGGCTTCGTCATACAGCTAATGCATTCGTTCGAGATTATAATACATTGAAAAACAGTTCATGAAGTCAATTTTCTAAGCCTTTCACGCCTTCATGGTCGATAACGAATTCACAGCAGCGACCAGAATCCACGAAACTAGGTAAACAAGGAGAAAATACTACTTTCAATGACCTTCTTACATTGGTATCTGTACATCGTTGAAAACTATTTACAACTCCTCGGTCGTTATTGTAATCATGCTCTCTGCTCTCATCAAACAAAGAATCTTTCAAGAGTGACGTGAAGGATGGTTTTGATTTGAACCTATCATGACGGGTCAATATCAGACGACTGGTGATTACGTTGGACCATTGTAACCCCAGCGTCGGCTTTACTCCATCGAGACCTAAGTTCGATGTAATACTGTTGATTGGAATTCGGGTATGTGATTCAGATTTGGAATGATCAGATTGGTTCTGATTGATACTGCCAAAAGATTTTGAGTATAAATCTGAAGAAGATTTGGGAGGATGAGAGAAATCGTCTGAAACTTGATTCACCACAACAATGGCAACACCGAAACAGTCAGCCCATTTTTTAAGCTTTGATGATAAATCGTAAAACATATTTGCTCGTTGGGTAAATGATATGTCCATACTATCTCCTCGGAAGTTTGCAGCGATCGAGTCTACGATCACAAGTCGTATCGGTCGGGAAGGTGGTGTTGAGGGACAAGAAGATGAGCAGGAATTGTTATAATGACTAGATAGTAACACAGGGAGTTGGTATTGAAGAACATGATTCTGAGTTTCGGTGTCGGTTATGTGTTCAATGTAAATACGTGATAGAATGGATGCAGCCGAAAAATCAGGTAATGACGGGTATTGAGTTGTAAATTTTGCTATCATTTGATCTAGTCTCGTAAGAGGAAACCGTCCTTCTGTACTGATATAAAGAACGCCTACAAAGAAGAAGAGGTTTAGAAAAATGAACATGTCTTGCACTTGGCAACTTCAAGTTTTCTCATTAAAGGAATCGAAATGAGACTCATACCACAATCTAATCCACCGAGATCTTGAGGCAATTGAGCGGCCACAGCCAATTGTAAACAAAGCTGTGTCTTGCCTGTACTACTACCACCCACAATCTCCGTTATCCCAGGCCACTGAATGCCCCCATCCAGGAAAGAATCCAAAGCATGGTCACCAGTTGATATTTTTCCTTGACGATTTGATTTTGATAGTTCTAAGGCAGTCAATGAGGGGATGCAGTACAGATCCGTATAGGATTTGTTGGGTTTAGAGCAGAGATACTTGGCAACGAGTTTGAGAAGTTGAGTTGTTTCCGAATCTGAAAGGCGTAGCTTTTTCGATAGATCGTGAGGATGAGTTGTGAATATATCGATCGCATATGTGAAGTAGCCTAAACAGATGTATTTTCAATCGAAAGTGTGTGAGAATAAAAACCAAAGCAATACAAAGACAGACATATTTAAACAACTGCTGAAAAATTTACCGGAAGTATGAAGTGCTTGGGATAATTTAGGAGGCAGGTCTATTTCGTCGAGTAACTCCATCGCATCATTGTGAATGTTTCCGTATCGTCTACCTTGGCATAAATAAACTCTGTACTTATCGTGGATACAGAGAGCGAAAATATATTCTTGGAGTGTTGCGATAAGAAAATTCAAAGGCGCGTCCAGAGCGACTAAAAGATGTTCCCTCGTCCGCGTTCTCGCCGTTTGTGAACTCTTATTCAATAGTATACAACAAAGAATAACACAAAAACAAACAATTACATGGAGAAATATAAACAATATCTATGAGCAAAAGATGCTCTTCAAAAATATTTCATATACATTCAGTTCCATCGCCCATCGTCAATCTGACTTCACACTTTATTCTTTCCAATGAGCCTACTCACACAGCCTTTTGCCGCTTCCTTGATTGCTTCACTCACATTCATTTCATCATCTAATTGTTTCAGCCTGGCCAACAATTCTTGTATCCGCTCTGATTCACACTCTGTCGGTGACTCCTACATGGAAATAATAATAAGATCGAAGGCTCCGATATGACAGGAACGCAGGCAGCTACTAACCTTATGAACATATTCGCCACCGATTCGCAACATCTTCTCTAAAGCTTTGAGGCTGTACTTCTTGGCACCAGTATACTTATCTATACCGTCTTCGTCCATCTATTAATCGATGTTAGTTGGTTTCAACCGTCCCGAATATAGTAGCATATACTATCGTACCGTGGTTCTGTCCAAAACAGCACTTAATTTTTCAACATTTTCCCAAAACATAGCTTCAGTCGGAAGCTTCTGATACGAGACAGTCATGTCCAACTGAACGCATCATAAGACAACGACAACAAGTTAAATCAGACAACTATCATAGAGCTTAATTAAATGGACAGCAGAGAATAAAACAAACCAATGAAGCTGCAAAATTTGCCACCTCAACGTTGTCAGAGGACACAAATTCAAGTAGCTTTGATCCCAACATTTGAGAAACCTTGACATAATATTCTGAGCAAGAAAATGTAAAATGACCAATAGTTATTACCCAAATGTTCTCTCATTATGCGATGCGAATATAAGGCACATGAATCGTGAACCCAAACACGAACCATCCAAGAAGTTATCTAAACCGTCATATCCAGGCATACCGATATGCCATAGCAATCTAAAGACATTCTTCAACACCACGGGTTCACCTTTATTAACAACACCAGACAAGGCAGGTGCGAATTGTTTCAGGCTAAGAATGTATTTCCATTTGTTTGATAAATCGCTGCTATTGTTTGAGTTAGGCATATCGGTAAAGTTAATGACTCGCAATCGAGACATGAGAGCCAATAAACAGTAAATAGGAAGAAAATAACATACAACGCATCCTTATTATCCTCTTCGCTCATTTCCAACCGGGCAAACTCTTCTTTGATATCAAAATAATAATTGCCTAAAATTCTAAAACATCGAGATCGAACGGCCGAATCCACATGCGTACTACAGCGAATTTCATGTCAATCGATTTGAGCAGTTCCAATCCGATATAATTAAACTTACTTTGCACCAACCGTAACCAGTTTGGCCAACATATCTTTCTCCAAATTTAGTAACATATCCTTTTTAAAGCCTTTTAACTTATTTAACCCATCTTTAACTTTGTCCCATTGATTATTCTCAAATGCGGACGTCAGGCCTTCTAGAACACTTTGAGCATTGGCGTGATCCGGATCGGACGAAGACCATTCGAATTTGTGGAAGTTACAGCTAAATCCGTGTAATGACTTGATGAAAGGAACGCAATCGAAAAGTTTACGTTGGGTTGACAAACCAGGGGCCGAAGCAGAATTCGGGACAGACGAAGCGCTGTGGGAGAGGGGTGTAGATTGAACAGGTGGCGAGGAGTTGACAGAAGCAGATTGGAATTGAGGCTGATCCGTCTTTCGGATGGAACTTGGCGTGTCATGTTGTGCCTGTTGAAGCAAATTTAAGCTAAAACTTTCTTTTAGTTGAGAATGAGAATTCGCGGCCGACAGTTTTTGACGTTTATTGGGTCGATCATTTATGTCTTCATTGTCGGCCGGTGTCTTCGGGGTAGTTGTCATAGACTCAACCAATGATTTCGATTGACTGGGACTGCACGCAATTTCGAAAACAAATCAAAATCAAACGCGGAAAACACAAGTCATAATAATTGTGAGTAAAAGCAACATTTTTCATCAGAAAAACCGAAAGTGATAAGAGGAGGCCAACATACGTCAGTTCCACAGTACTCTTCATCTTTCCAGACGGTGTGTCTAATGCCATCGAGCCAACATTCTCAATTGGATTATCACCACAATTCTCTTTTCCGAATTTGGCCAACACCTCTTCTTTAATCCACCAAGCCAATTTGCCGTCTTTTCCGCCTTTTTTCCGTTCAGCGATATTCTTAATAGTATTCACAAAATGGTTTTTAGGAACTTTAGGGAACAACGTTTTCAACTCTTCAACCATCTTTGGCACTCCTTGATTTCCGTTGACGATTTTGAGGACGCTCGAAAAGTGTTCAGGTGGAATGTTGAAGGTAGAAGGAGTTTTGCCGTGACTTTGATTGGAACTAGAATTGCCATGTACTTTAGCGGATGGGGTACCTGTAGCCGAGCTATCAGCTGTTTGGTTCTCGTTCGATTCAGACTGTGGCGGGTCCAAGACAATGTTGAAAGGATCGATTTGAGTAGTTTCTAGAATGATATTGTGTTGTTTAATTAATCTGAAATAATTAGCTATTGAGAGCAGATACAGAGTCGCTTACCGATGAAGAATTGAAGACGAAACGGTCGAAGGGCTGGAATACTGGATTCTTGATAAATATCGACATCAAAATTCGGTCCTACAACTACAGGAACCAACGGCTGAACGATTCGTTTCTTAAATTCCGATTTTCCTGTTATTCATCATAAGTGTACCCAAAATGTTAGCTCAACGCTTATTGCTTTAAATGCATGATTATAAAAGCAAGGTATAAATGCAAAAAGAGGGTGAACATTGAATCATACTTTTTGGCGACTCGTCTCCTTCAGTATCCTCTCTTTCACCGATCTCATCTTCGCTCAAATATCCTTCGGGTACCAGCCAGTCATTGCCTTCTTCATCATTTTCGTCGGCATCGCTTTTTTCGCTTTCACAATCATCATTATCGTCATCACTGTTCAAGTCTTCGCCCTCACCTTCTTCTTCCCATTCGTCTTCACTCTCGTATTCATAGTCGAACAACCCGGTATCTTGCGCTAATGGGCGACGACCAGAAACAGTGGTAGAAGATTTGGAGAATGTACC